ATACCTTACATAGATTCGAATTATGAAAATGTAAACAAAATCTATATTCGTTCGGGAGCACTCTGCCTCTGTTTTGAGCCTGCAGTGTTGACCTTAAAAAAAAAAAATACAAAAAAAAAAACAAAAAAACAGTTAAACAGAGAGCACATAAAATTGGTTGATGATATTTATATTAACAAAATTATACAAGTTTGTATCAAATTTAAAAAAAAAAAAAAAGCAGTGATACCTTGCATAGATTCGAATTATGAAAATGTAAACAAAATCTATATTCGTTCGGGAGCACTCTGCCTCTGTTTTGAGCCTGCAGTGTTGACCTCGATAGCGTCCGGAGGCGTCCACGGAAAGCCAGCCGAACTCTCCTCAATCATTCATGAGCCGCGATCCTTAAAATTAAATAGTAATTTAAATTTTTTTTGGGCTTGTCGATCGCTCGAACCCAGGCCGTCGCTTGAATGGGGAGAATACAAAACCACTGATCAGGAAACATTCATCCTGAATGCCCTCCCCTTGCTTATATTGACGTCTCTCTCTGCGTTAGTTGAAATTGAAGACGTGGTGACGTTGTTCCTCTCTCTCAAAAATAAAAAAAAAAGAGAGAGAAAAAGCAGGGTCGGACCTCAATTGAAAAATTTATAGCCACAGTTTGAGTAATTCAGTTTGCTGGGGTGGTCTTCACAAAGTAAACGAGTTAAGTCCCTTGTTTGAGTGACATGTCGCCGGCGCAAATGAGATTACCGCCCTTGTTGTTCTTTTCTTGTCTCCGGGGTTCGGGGCAGCGGACGAGTGGTTGTCTGCCCCCGCTGAGCATTCTTAGCACCATTCTAAACAACGGGACAGGAGTCGGAACTCTCTCTAAACAACACAGAATGTTGATGGACAGAATGTTGGCGATGAGACATGGATTTTAGTGGGATGAATCGGACAAAAAACTCATAAGAAGAGTAAAAAAAAAAAATACAAAATAAATTCTATGCTATGGCATTACATTAAAGTTTACTGCCATACAATTTTGAGAAAGTGGCAGGGGCAGAGCAACCCCGTTAAAATATGGTACGAGGTGGATAATCTATAAGATAATTCCAGATGGCGCTACATATATCCAATGATGCTTAGTTGCACTGACTCTGTGTCGTATGTGTTCTTTTGAGTGCATTTGGGGCGCACGCCTGGGAAAGAAGCAGCGAACGAGAGCGCATCACGCTGCGCATTGAGAACGTGGGGCGTAAAGGGGGGGGGGGCGACAAGATCCGCTCGGGACTAATTACTATATATGGATGACGGGGGATGGATGAAGGTAGATGGTTGACGGGGAATCAACACCCAACAAATAGAACGTTGGAAGAAGCAATAAACATCGTTGTTTGCTAACATGCAAAAAAAAAAAAAAATGCAGCGAACGAGAGCGCATCACGCTGCGCATTGAGAACGTGGGGCGTAAAGGGGGGGGGGGCGACAAGATCCGCTCGGGACTAATTACTATATATGGATGACGGTGGATGGATGAAGGTAGATGGTTGACGGGGAATCAACACCCAACAAATAGAACGTTGGAAGAAGCAATAAACATCGTTGTTTGCTAACATGCAAAAAAAAAAAAATATGTGGTAAATAACCATTTCAATTTTCTGTTTAAAAAAAACATCATGTTTTTTTTTTCCTTTGTTAAAAATAAAGGGGGAAAGAATTTCCAGAAAAAAAGATTCCAGAAATCGGATCGCGGAATTAGTCTCCTGGGCTGGTACTTCTCTCATTATCACTGTCCTGGTCTTCTGTTTCTCTCGCTCTCGTTCCACATCTCTTGTGCACCCGTTCTCCCCCCCCCCCTTCGCTGTCCACCTCTCTTATTTCGCGTGTGTAGCCCTGTGTTCTGGCTCTGTGTGTTACGTCGTCTGTTTCTCCTCATTGTATTTTTGTTTTATTTCACCATCAATACACATGTCTTTCGAGGAAATTTCACATTCTCTCTCGCTGATAACTCTTCATGTATTTCTCTCAACATTACTCTTCGTCTCTCTCTCTCCCCATCACTCTTTCATGTCTCTCTCTCCCCTTCACTCTACATTTCCCCCCTTCTCTTATACACGCTCTCTGTTTCCCGCTGACACGTATAAATAATTATAATAACGTATTTATATATTATCTTAACTCATTAGTCAGAAAAAATATTTAATGACTACGTCTTTTCTCCCATAATGAATACAAACCACTCACCAATCACTCACCAATCACTCACCAATCACTCACCAATCACTCACCAATCACTCAACAATCACTCACCAATCACTCACCAATCACTCACCAATCACTCACCAATCACTCCCCAATCACTCACCAATCACTCACCATTTAATTACCACGTTCTGACAAGTTCCACTCAACATTTACTCACAAATCAATTACAATTTACTCACCAATCACTCACCATTTTATCCCCAATCACTCAACATTCACTCACCAATGGGCTCAAAAGTTCCACTAAGACTTAACTCTCATCATCTACGCTTGTCATATCTATTTGTGTGTGTGTGTCTCCCCTTTAAAAGTTTCCCCAAAAAACCATTCTGTTAAAACCTTCCACACGAACAGACACCCTCATATCGTAGACGTTTCATCTAATTCAATGGACGGCACTCAGGGGACACAAGCTAGAGTTGAACGCGGAAAATATCTTATACGCGGTTATCGAACCTACCGTTTCGATTTGGTTCGTGTCATAAAAAATGGAGAGGCGTAATGGAATTTGACACTTGGTTTTGTTGCCCCCCAAAAAAACGGTTTGGTTAAGACGTGGGTGGTCATAAAGAACATCTCCTTCAGTCTGACATTTGACTGCACAGAAGCTACTCAATAACGGGCCTATAGATGTTAGGGTTAAAGGATTGGGTCTTCTAGGAACGGTTCCTCTGGGAATGGTTCTTCTGGGAACGTTTCTTCTAGGAATAGGTTTTCTGGGAATGGTTTTTCTAGGAATAGTTCTTCTAGGAACGGTTCTTCTAGGAACGGTTCTTCTAGGAATCGTTCTTATAGGAACGGTTCTTCTAGGAATGGTCCTTCTGGGAATGGTTCACCCAGGAACGGTTCTTCGAGGAACGGTCCTTCTGGGAATGGCTCTTCTTGGAATGATTCTTCTAGGAATGGTTCTTGTTGTTCTGTATTTTGTTGCTAGGTCTTGCAGCTACAGCTGTTTATTTGCATGACACCATTAGGAATGGTAGGGGGGGGGGAAGGGGATGTCAGCACTAAATGCAGTAAATATGCCAAAAATGACCTCTTGCCCACTCTAGGATACACCCATGATCTGAGCACAGGAGCAGACAGACAAGGGCAGGTTAATGCGAACGCTCGCCATTTTACAAACAATGAAGAGATTAGCGGCGTAAACGAGCCGTTCAATTGGTAGGTCTCCACGATGTTTCTTATGCTCCTCCGGACTCCCTCCCCCCCCCCCGCCCACCCCTACATCCACCCCTGGAGTTTCAGAATGAGTTGAAACCCTAAACATCTCCGGTTGTCATGGTGATAAGAAGATATGTATTATTACATTCACGGATTGTTGGCGTCAATCCACCAGTTGTAGCATACGGGGAAATTCTCTCAGCATGGCTCTTTTTGTTTTCGCTTCTCTCTTGATCTCATACTCTCTCTTTTTCTTTCTTACTCGATATCTTTGTCTATCACCTCTCTTCGATCTCTTGCTATAGCTCCCTCTCTCTCTCTCTCTCTCTCTCTCTCTCTCTCTCTCTCTCTCTCTCTCTCTCTCTCTCTCTCTTTCACCCCTTTTTCTGTGCTCCCCTATCTCTCGGTGTTTTTCATTTTTTTTTTTTCTCTTTATCTCTCACTCTCTCTCTTTCTCTCTTTCTCGATATCTCTGTCTCTCCCCTCTCTTCGCTCTCTCGCTATAGCTCCCTCTCTCTCTCTCTCTCTCTCTCTCTCTCTCTCTCTCTCTCTCTCTCTCTCTCTCTCTCTCTCTCATGCATCCATTAATGTGAAGTCCAATAACTCAGGGTATTTGGAACGTATTTTCTGTATCCAGTCGGTGAGCGAGTTATAGCTTAGCAGCGTGACACAGACAGTGTCCATCTGGAAGTACGTGCCTGTGTGTGGCCATGTCTGTCTGTGTCTGTCTATGTGTGCTTGTGTGTGGTCATGTCTGTCTGTGTCTGCCTAAGTATTTTTGTGTTTGGCCATGTCTGTCTGTGTCTGTCTAAGTGTGCTTGTGTGTGGCCATGGCTGTCTGTGTCTGTCTATGTGTTTTTGTGTGTGGCCATGTCTGTCTGTGACTGTCCAAGTGTTTTTGTGGGTGGCCATGTCTGTCTGTGTCTGCCTATATGTGCTTGTGTGTGACCATGTCTGTCTGTCTGTGTCTGCCTAAGTGTGCTTGTGTGTGGCCATGTCTGTCTGTGACTGTCCAAGTGTTTTGTGTGTGGCCATGTCTGTCTGTGTCTGCCTATGTGTGCTTGTGTGTGACCACGTCTGTCTGTGTCTGCCTATGTGTGCTTGTGTGTGGCCATGTCCGTCTGTGTCTGCCTAAGTGTGCCTGTGTGTGACCATGTCTGTCTGTGTCTGCCTAATTGTGCTTGTGTGTGACCATGTCTGTCTGTGTCTGCCTATGTGTGCTTGTGCGTGACCATCTACGTCTGTGTCTGCCTAAGTATTTTTGTGTGTGACCATGTCTGCTGTGTCTGTCTACGTGTGTTTGTGTGTGTGTGTGTGTGAGTGTGTGTGTGTGGCTGGGGAGATGGGTCCACAATCTGCTACAGAAGAACCGTTGCAACTAGAATTTTTTTTTTTTTTAAGGCGTCTTGGACGTCATGATTTCAAAACAATAACAAGTTACAAAACAGATTAGATTTACCAATAAAATTTGCCAGAGACTATTACAATTTGATTACAATTTAAAAAAGTATCGTGCCTAATAGAGCTATATTAATAATAAGACAGACAATTGTAATAAGCAAAACAGCGCAGCTAAGCTTTAATCCAATCTCTGCTCATACCTTCATCGGTGTTACATGATGACACATGTTGGTAGTTCTTGACGCATGGGCCATTTATACCGCACTCGGACATTTGATCGCATGAAATTTCGTTGACGGTAAAATGATCGGACGGTAATTTGATCGAACGGAAATTTGGTCGGATCTTTTTTTCTTCTTCAGATTTTACGTTAAATTTTTTTCTTCAGATTTCTTTTTGAACGTCTTATCCTTGTTTGACTATAGAGTTATAGTGCGTTCAAAAAGAAAGTTGACGAAAATTTTAACGTGTGAACTGGAAAAAAAAGAAAAAGCTTCGACCAAATTTCCGTTCGATCAAATTTTTGTCGCTCAGTTTGCCGTCGAAGAAATTTCTTTCGATCAAATTTCCGGTAACCAATTTATACATTTGGCCTTAAAATAGACGATTTGGATGATTGATGGGTTTAATATATTGATGGCGTAGGTCAAAGAATGCATTAAATGTGTTGATGAAATGAAATATTGAATTCAATGCATCGATGACGTAGGTCGCCGGTGAATGAACGAATAAAATGTATTGAATGCGTGAGTAATTGAATTCAATGTATCGATGACGTAGGTCGGTGCTTGGATGAGTTCAGTGACGTCAAGACTTCGACTTCTTCCTCCGCTTGCCCGACTTGGCCGGCTGCACTATAGACACGGGGTACAACCTCCTGGCCTCTGACCTCTCCTCCGGGGTCACTGCCGTGTAATCGAGGACCTCGAGCTTGGGTAGACTGCTGATGACGAAGTACCTGATGAGAATGCGGAAAAAAAAAACAGTGAGTTATAAAAGTGAGTAGCTTACTTTAGCAGATCAGGAAGCATATGGGGGAGATAACATACCCCTCCCCCCACACACACACTTTCCCCCAACCGCCAATGTAAAAAATAAATAAGTTTCAAAACGGAAGCTCAGGCGAACACGATGTCTGAAAGATTGATTACTAATGGGGATACAGTACCGGTAGTATAGTTTTGTTGATTGTGATTTGCACATAACACAGGATCTGGGTCAGTTTTCCCCAATTTTTTTGGTGCCTTTCCTAAGCTAAATCTCTCAAAAATTAGTATGCCAACCTATGTAACATCATTTTTTAATACCGGAGTTCAAAATTTAAATTGTTTTCAACACTATGAAAGCTTTTTTTAAAGTGATTCTCCTTTTAAAATACAAGATAGATCGTAGTAGACGATTGGTTTTCAAATTGTGGATGGCATTTAAAAAAAAAAAAAAAAAAATTACCCCCCCCCCAAAACCTTAACAATCAAATTTCCCCCTGTGGGTCGTGGGCCCCCACATTGGGAAACATTGATCTAGTTCAGGGGTGGCCAGACCTGTAGTAACTGAGAGCCATTTTTTTAAATAAAAGAAATTGTTGAGAGCCGCATTGAAGCACTATGGGTCACGATCCCACTCGCCATGAAAAAATTTCCTTTTGTGATTTATTTTAAAAAAATGACTTTTTATTCGAATTTGATGATTTTAACCTTTCAATTGATTTAACCCTAACCGGATGTTGAAGAAATACACGCGTTACAGTCAATCCCAAAGTATTTTCAACCCTTGGTTTCAGTCAAGATTTTTTTTTTTTTTAAACTTTCATTAATTTTTTTTTTATATTATATATTTCAAACGAAAAGTTTTAATTTCATAAATTGTTCGCGAGCCGCAACGTGAACACAGAAGAGCCGCATGCGGCTCACGAGCCGCGGTTTGGCCACCGTTGATCTAGATTTAAAAAAGAAAAACCCACAAAAATACGTTGTGGGCCGCAGGTCATTCTCGGGCATTGATTCCGGGACTTATGGTCTAGCAACATCTTGGGACGTTAGATCTAGCTATATTTTGGGAAATTTGATCTAGTTTCATCTGGGGACCTTTCCTTGAGCTGTAATGATGATTAGGTTTCGTTGGGTGGATCAAGATGCGATTTGCAACCCTGGCGTGCCTGTAATCCACGTACTGCTGGTAGTTCCCACCGTTTAAAGAAATGTGATTAACCCTCACTGACCTGTAATCCAAGTACTCCTGGTAGTTCCCAGTGTTTAAAGAAATGTGATTAACCCTCACTGACCTGTAATCCAAGTACTCCTGGTAGTTCCCACCGTTTAAAGAGATGTGATTAACCCTCACTGACCTGTAATCCAAGTACTCCTGGTAGTTCCCACCGTTTAAAGAGATGTGATTAACCCTCACTGACCTGTAATCCAAGTACTGCTGGTAGTTCCCACCGTTTAAAGAGATGTGATTAACCCTCACTGACCTGTAATCCAAGTACTGCTGGTAGTTCCCACCGTTTAAAGAAATGTGATTAACCCTCACTGACCTGTAATCCAAGTACTGCTGGTGGTTCCCACCGTTTAAAGAAATGTGATTAACCCTCACTGACCTGTAATCCAAGTACTGCTGGTAGTTCCCACCGTTGAAGAAACTCGGGGCCGCCTCGTTGTTCATCATAGACAGGATCCTGATGTTGGGACAATTTTTGGCCAGGCTCGTGATGAAAAGACCTGCGGAACGGTAAGAAAAGATCTGATCCAAATCTTTAGACGGTTTAGTTAGATCAGTGGTTCTCAAAAAACTTTTCGGTCACCACCAACTGGGCATATTAGACCCATCCCTAGCGCCCCCCCCCCTGTATTACCTTCTATCCCTCCAACCCCCCTCCCCACAGGGCCTACCAAAAAATTTAAAAAAAAAATGATTAAAATTATAATTTAATTTCAGGACAGTATTTTTAAAAGAATGGTAACTTCCTTACAGATTTTTGAAAAAAAAAACTGTCCTGAAATTTAATTTTAATTTTTGTGTCTTCCTTACAGAAGAACCCAAAACGGGTAAAGTTTTATTTGTAATTCAACGTTTAATTAATAGTTTAAAAAAAAAGCTTTGTTTACTTGAATTAATTTCAGTCATAAATTGATTAATTTGATCCATCGATGCAAACAGCTTCCGCCAAGTAGGATTGTGTTGAGCAGTTTGTAATAATTTGCGTAGTAGCTAACTTCCGCATCGCTCACGTACGGCTTTACGTACGCTTTGGCTGGGTCTTGGCACACGGACACTCATGTGTTCCACTATCTGGTTTACGGCAAACTTAACATCGTTCATAATGCACTACATTTAGGAACATGGGTTACATTTCTTTGCCTGGAGTAAAGAAAGACAGCGGCGTCTTTGACTACTTCCCATGGCGCATGATAAAGTGCAGGAGAATTTCTTCTGTACGATTTCTTAACCTTTGGATTCATGGTGTTCAAATCAACACATGTGCAACTTAAACTGAAAATGGATTTATCAATTGATCTAAACTTTCAGTTAAAAGAATATCCTAAGAATCGCCGACACTCGGATTTAGCGACCATATTTAAATCGCCAAGATAATTTAATCAGAGGCGTCACCGAAGGGTGCGCACCGTTACACCCTCACAGGGGACACGAAGTGGAAAATTGCAAATTCGACAGAGCTCGCTCGAGAAAAAGAGCAGGATGACATCAGAGCATGGACACAAGCGATATAAAGTACTTGATCATCGTTCTCATTATCGGAGCAGGATGTCATCAGAGCAGAAAGACTAATATATTATACAGTGGCCGCCTTTGTATTAGACTGAGGCCACCCATGTATAAGACAGAGGGCGCCCATGTATAAGACAGAGGGCGCCTATGTATAAGACAGAGGCCGCCTATGTATAAGACAGAGGGCGCCCATGTATTAGACAGAGGCCGCCCATGTATAAGACAGAGGGCGCCCATGTCTAAGACAGAGGCCGCCCAAGTATAAGACAGAGGCCACCCATGTATAAGACAGAGGGCGCCCATGTATAAGACAGAGGGCGTACATGTATAAGACAGAGGGCGCCCATGTATAAGACAGAGGGCGCCCATGTATAAGACAGAGGCCGCCCATGTATAAGACAGAGGCCACCCATGTATAAGACAGAGGGCGCCCATGTATAAGACAGAGGCCGCCTATGTATAAGACAGAGGGCGCCCATGTATTAGACAGAGGCCGCCCATGTATAAGACAGAGGCCGCCCATGTATAAGACAGAAGGCGCCCATGTCTAAGACAGAGGGCGCCCATGTCTAAGACAGAGGCCGCCCATGTATAAGACAGAGGCCGCCCATGTATAAGACAGAGGGCGCCCATGTATAAGACAGAGGCCGCCCATGTATAAGACAGAGGCCACCCATGTCTAAGACAGAGGGCGGCCATGTTTACGACAGTAGACAGAGGCCGCCCATGTATAAGACAGAGGCCGCCCATGTATACGACAGAGGGCGCCCATGTATAAGACAGAGGGCGCCCATGTATAAGACAGAGGCCGCCCAAGTATAAGACAGAGGCCACCCATGTATAAGACAGAGGGCGCCCATGTATAAGACAGAGGCCGCCCATGTATAAGACAGAGGCCACCCATGTGTAAGACAGAGGGCGCCCATGTTTAAGACAGAGGGCGGCCATGTATAAGACAGAGGGCGCCCATGTCTAAGACAGAGGGCGCCCATGTCTAAGACAGAGGGCGCCCATGTTTAAGACAGAGGCCGCCCATGTATAAGACAGAGGGCGCCCATGTCTAAGATAGAGGCCGCACATGTCTAAGATAGAGGCCGCCCATGTATAAGACAGAGGGCGCCCATGTCTAAGACAGAGGGCACCCATATCTAAGACAGAGGGCGTACATGCGTTAAAGGAAGACTCACCCAAGTTTTGAATGTTGTTATGGTTCACCCACAAAGTCTGCAGCTGGCGGCACAGCGGCATCTTCACATGGGACGAGATTTTGTTGTGGTCAACCACGAGACTTTGGAGGCGAGGGAGGCTGATGAGGAAGCGGAGATCTCTTGCTGTGGTCAAGGTCATGTGTTTCGAGATGAAAAGCTCGTAAAGCGAAAGCAGTTCAGCCACGAACTCAGAGCGCCTAGTATTCCTGGGCTGTAAGACCCGGTGAGGATATTTTACTTTCTAGGAGGAACCAAGGTACATGACCGACCTATAGGGCCCAAAGTTCGGTACTCGTGTCTCAGAACTAAGTGCCACCCCCTGTCTTATTTGAATTTGCTTAACCGATTAAATAGGGTTAGCTATATATCATCACCTAAGACTCATTTACCTAAAACGTATGGAAATATAAAAAAAAAAATATTTATAATCTAGAAATGGGGAGGTTGGGTGATGGGTTGGAGGAGGTCTGTTCGTTTTCAATGGAATATATTTTTGATCCCCTCTGATCATACATACCAATAACTCCACTGATTTCATGTACCCCATCTGAGGTGCAACTAGAATAATCTTTTCACTGGGAATATTTGAGAATGCCTTAATCGTGTTTCCTTGGATGGATGGATGCAGCCAGGAGTTGAACACGTTAGAGCCGGCCTACAATTTATTACATGTCATTATATATTCTAAAATATTGTTTTTATCCCCCCCCTATCTATTGTAATATAATCCCCCCCCCCCAACCTCCAATTACTTCCTTCGAACGTCTCCCCGAGGGGTTAAAAGTTTCAAAATAGGAAGGATTTTTTTTCAGGTTTATTTGAAAAAGATAAAATTATTGTAAGTAGCCTAGTCATTTATAAATTTCACCTATCCCATTCATGATTATAATGAAGCGATGGTAAGAAGATAGTGAGACAGAGTAGGATGGGGGAGGTCAAGACATGATTATAGTGAGACAATAGTGAGACTGGTTAGGTTGGGGGGGATGTCTGAGGCATGATTATAATGAGGCGATGGTGAGACTGATTAGGGTGTGGATGTCACGGCAGGACTATAGTGAGGTGATGCTAATCGATGATCATGGTCGGGATGATTAAGTCATGGTTAACCAGAAGGATACGACACTTTGTTGTGGCTGAGGTCGAGCTCTATGATGGTGTTGCCGTACTGGGAAATGATGTCGACGGGCAACTCCGCCAGCTCCATGTAGGCCAGAGACACACGGTGGCTCTTGGGCGACCCTTCAACCATGATGACCCGGACTCATGGGACGTCTGCCCTTATCAGTGGTTGACCTTTAATCTCCACGCCTGCTACACGGGTACTCAGATATCACAACGGCGTTCATACATTCAGCTGCTGAACAAAGTTACACATACGACAATGCAAATCCCAAGATTGATAGAAAAAATTTATTTCCATACCACCATTAAAGAACGACTGCTAAATTAACGAAAAATTCAGTCTATAAGCTTCTTCAAGATAAACTAATCATATCAAGACAATAAAGGAAGGACTGCATTCAAGCTGTATGAAGGAAGTTGTTGAAAAGGTTTGTTAAAACTTGAAATGAAAGAACGGGACGATACAAAGAGGAACGTGATAAAAAGAGGAACGTTTCGGCCAAAAGCTTTCTTCAGCGGACAAAAGTCCACGTTTTTTGTTTCACTATTTCCTTTTAAGTTGACAAGACAGCCTTGTCTGCTAAAGCAGAAGAAGGCGTTTGGCCGAAACGATGCCCTTTTATCGTCCCTGTCTCTTACTTTAACGTTTTGTACAACAATTTTCTCATATAAAGACGAACTGAGAGTCTAAGAAGGTGAATAAAAAACTGATAGATCTATTTATCGACTTTAGTTATAATGTATTCATTTTGTTACTGAGGATGGCTTTATCTATTTATAGATTTTGTTTTTTAAAAAAAACTTTAAAAAAAAAATTGTGACTTCCTAAGTGGGTGTTTTTTAGTCCGTCTGGAAGCGTCGAAAGCCCTAGTTCGCTTTCAGAGCTTCGCAATGTTCTCTGTTATTGCCAACGTAAAATTACCTCAGATATTATCCACAAATATCAATGTCTGTGCCAGGGACTGTGTTATACATCAACAAGGACATGTTTATTTTTTTTTTATCTGAAAGCTGGTAAGCCAGCAGATTAAACCAAATCACTATCATCTCTATTTATAGATCTTTACTTTTTAAATTGTGAAAACAATGCGTGTGGAGTGGTGAAATAAAAAGTTCGCTGCTCTAGTTAATCACAAACAAACATGACATTAACGTCGAATGACAAGCATTTGACTTTTTGAAATGTTTTCTGTTTCTCGCTGTTTCTTCAAAACACGTTCCCTTTTTTTTAATTGCCCCGTCTTTCTATTTGAAGCTTCCACACACCTTTCCTTCCCTATATCCTTCGCACAGACCTCGTGCACAGGCCTTCATTTATTATCAAACGAAATATACGTCAGCGAATGACGTCATTCGTTTCTGACGACTTACTACTTCATTGCAGGTTTAAGCTGCTTCTAGCAACCGGACTGAAATATGTATCACATATATAACAAAAATACATGTTTCTCTGCGTAACCATTTAACAACTAATGATGTCACTAACGCTTTCACAAAAATGAAATTCCCGATAACCGGGCCTAAAATAGAGTTTGGTGCGCAACATTTTCTTTTGCATTACGGAAATAGACTAGTCTCAAGCTACAAATCAGGTATGTAAATAGAGGGATGGGGACATTAGCACAGTTATAGAGTTCAGGGGCGTGCAAACAAACAAAAAGTATGCGTTGGCTTACCCGTGGGGGCGGAAAAGGGGGGGGGGGCTACACCGATTGGTATTCTTATTATGTTGCACGTTTTATCAAGTAACTTAAGTAGGTGGAAAGTTCACGCATTGTGGCCCCCTTCCCCCCCCCCCCCACTATTGTTTAGCGGGTTAAAACTAGTGATGTGTTCATATTGCTATTTGAATTAATTCTTATTTCGCTTTTTTTCGATGCACAATTTTTGGGCCAATTCATCGTGGGGTTGGAATACGTGGGGATGTTTACGGTAAAACTTATCACAATAGATAACTAAAACGTGTGTTTGCTTTCACATTTCTGCGCTTGAAAAACTCCTGGCAATAAATAGGGACAAGAAAATATGGCACTGAATCAAACATTACCTCGTGCCGGTGTGGGGATTGGATTATTTTTTTATTTTTAACATTTGTACAGGTTAATTATTTCCCCAATTTTTTTTTTTAACAATGTCAACTTACATCCGTGCGATAAATTATCCAGTGATCCGAGCCTGGAATTCCTGTTAGCAGCTGTGAAATGAACTTATCTTCAAATAATGAATTGTTATCTTCAGTGTTTGGATCCTGGTGCAACTCTTATAACGTCACAACTAACCAGATGTTAAGTTTAAAAAAAAAATAAAAAAACACAAGAAAATAATCGTCCAGAAACACAGTCGCCTGGTTTAGAGAGTACTGAACATACGCCTGGTTTAGAGAGTACTGAACATACGCCTGGTTTAGAGAGTACCGGACTTAACGCATATTCCTATTGAGGAGGATCTATAGCAGTTTTAACAGGTTATAAAAAAACAACAAATGTATTATGTAATGAAAGCCGCCATTAAACAACACCAGCGATGAAATAACAAAACGACTGACGCATAACGTAATCAACAGTTTTGTTATCATTTTCTCGGAGATAACCCCTTCCAGCTCAGCTTATCAGACGATACCACCCGGGGATCCTCAAACAGTTCGTTTATTTATTTTAAGCTTTTTTTAAAAAAAAAAAAAATGAGATCAAATTTCGTGTCTTAATCGTCTTGTTATGGCCCCCAGATTTTTTGTTAATGTTACATCAAGATAAAGTAGAGCATGTAAAATAATATCGGGGTACCATCACCTTGACGAACCTATAGCCTGAATGTTGAGTTTAAAACAATAAATTGGTTTTTGTGTGTAAACGTATACAACACATTTAGAAACACTGTGGGGTCGAATTATGACATTCCAATCTGTAACACATTAAACCAGTGTGCAGTCGTGTTGTGGACAGCACGCTGTCTTGGGATGAGAACAAAAAGAACAACAACAAAAAAAACTACATGTATATGTATACTAAATAAAACCCTATTTCTTACGGTTGGACAACATCATGTTATATATGGTTGGGCATCAGCAGTTGATACCTGGTTGTATATCAGCAGGTTATACCTGTTTGGACAACAACATGTTATATATGGTTAGAAGACATCATGTTATACATGGTTGGACAACATCATGCTATACCTGGTTAGAAGACATCATGTTATGCCTGGTTGGACAACAGCATGTTATTTATGCCCTTGACGACGTATTACATCTACTGTTACTGAATGTTTTTAGCCCTATTCATATTATTCTCACTTAAATTCATATTGTCAAACGATGGAAAGAGAAACATACACAAAATGTCCATCCAGGTCTGAAAGCATACTAGTATCTGCAGCCCTAGAACCGTCGAGCAATGGCGGCCACATCGCCTGAACTTCCAATCTACTCGAACGTTTATTTGACAAAACGTACATTCAGGTAACGCACTTCAATACATTCTCAATTAACGCTACCTGCGCCCCCCCCAACCACCACCCCCAGTACACCAACGCCCCCAACCACCACCCCCAGTACACCACCGCCTCTGATCTCTATTAATATTCTAAACGACCAACACCCACTTTTACACAGCAGATTTATTACACCTAGTGCTTCAGAGGAGCGAAATTTAAAAAAAAAAAATATATATTACTCACCAAACGCATTTGCGGTACTTTCAAGAATCTCACTAAGCCCAGTTATCGGGTCAAGGGAGTCAAGAATTGCTTAAAAATCGTTGACGTAATTAATGGACGCCCCATATTAGCTGCAATTTTCTATATTCTTTTCTATTAATTTTTTTTTTTTTTTTACCGTTCTCTTTTTGTTTCGTCTTTTAGACTTGATTGTTTCAATATTATTTCCTTCATTATTTTGTTTTTTGTGTCCCGACGGAAGTTCGTTTGTTTGTCAGTGCGTACTTCAGTCAACGTAATCTTTAAAACAGTTTGTACAAATAAACATTTTAAAAAAAAAGAAACTTTAAAAAAACATGAGGTGCCTTTAATAAAAAAAAATTGAAGACTAAATATAAACCATCAATAGAAACCATCAATATAAACCATCAATATAAACCATCAATATAAACCATCAATAGAAACCATCAATATAAACCATCAATATAAACCATCAATATAAACCATCAATAGAAACCATCAATAGAAACCATCAATATAAACCATCAATATAAACCATCAATATAAACCATCAATATAAACCATCAATATAAACCATCAATATAAACCATCAATATAAACCATCAATATAAACCATCAATATAAACCATCAATATAAACCATCAATATAAACCATCAATATAAACCATCAATATAAACCATCAATATAAACCATCAATATAAACCATCAATATAAACCATCAATAGAAACCATCAATAGAAACCATCAATAGAAACCATCAATAGAAACCATCAATAGAAACCATCAATAGAAACCATCAATATAAACCATCAATATAAACCATCAATAGAAACCATCAATAGAAACCATCAATAGAAACCATCAATAGAAACCATCAATAGAAACCATCAATAGAAACCATCAATATAAACCATCAATATAAACCATCAATATAAACCATCAATATAAACCATCAATATAAACCATCAATATAAACCATCAATATAAACCATCAATATAAACCATCAATATAAACCATCAATAGAAACCATCAATAGAAACCATCAATAGAAACCATCAATAGAAACCATCAATAGAAACCATCAATAGAAACCATCAATATAAACCATCAATAGAAACCATCAATATAAACCATCAATATAAACCATCAATATAAACCATCAATATAAACCATCAATAGAAACCATCAATAGAAACCATCAATATAAACCATCAATAGAAACCATCAATAGAAACCATCAATATAAACCATCAATAGAAACCATCAATAGAAACCATCAATAGAAACCATCAATAGAAACCATCAATAGAAACCATCAATAGAAACCATCAATAGAAACCATCAATATAAACCATCAATATAAACCATCAATATAAACCATCAATATAAACCATCAATATAAACCATCAATATAAACCATCAATATAAACCATCAATATAAACCATCAATATAAACCATCAATATAAACCATCAATATAAACCATCAATATAAACCATCAATATAAACCATCAATATAAACCATCAATATAAACCATCAATAGAAACCATCAATAGAAACCATCAATAGAAACCATCAATAGAAACCATCAATAGAAACCATCAATAGAAACCATCAATATAAACCATCAATA